TCTGGTTCCGGGGGGGGGTGGGGGGGGAAGAAGTCCTCCCCGACTCAACTGGGAACCTTTAGCATGCCAGCATCCAGGTCTCAGTTTGATACGTCGATGTCCAAGGGCAACTCGACCCCCCGTGCCGAAGGGAAACGCGTTGGAGCCACAAACGTCGCGCCCCTCGCTTCGGTGGCGTGCACTGAGGAGCAAGCTCGAGGCGTTGCCTCGGAAAATAGCCTCACCCGGAGCTTTTAGAGCCTGCATAGTTTTGCCCGAGACCTCTCCGAGGGCTGTGACGGGAGGTGTTTTACGGGAAGAACCCGGTAGATACGTAGGGCAGCAGCTGAGGGGCGCATCGCTGTAGCGGGTAGGAAAGAGACACGCTCCCTCGCCCTGGGCTCGGGCCATTGGCGACAGATGGGGTGGAGGGACAGGTCTGCAGGCACACGGCACGCGTTCCCGGTGCTGCGTTTTGGGATGGGGTTCGGGTAGGGAGCGCACGTGCTGGGTATCAAATCTGATCTCGGCCTCAGGGGATGCTGCCGCGCGCCCTCTGCCCGCATGTTTTGGGATGGGGTTCGGGTAGGGAGCGCACATGCTGGGTATCAAATCTGATCTCGGCCTCAGGGGATGCTGCCGCGCGCCCTAACTGCCCGCATCCCACTTGCCTCCGAACAGAGGCTGACGGCTCACTGCGCCCCCCCCGCCCCGCCCCCGGGAACTGCTGACCCCCTTTTTCCTCCGGTTCTGCCCTGTAGGCACCCTGACAAAAACAAGGACCCGGGAGCAGAAGACAAATTCATCCAGATTAGCAAGGCCTACGAGGTAACACGCTCTTCTTGCTAAACTCGTGCTGTCGTTAAAAATTAAGTGACCTTATTTTTCCATACGTGGCTTTGTGCTTTTTCTGCGTACGTCTACACGGGAAAGGTGCTCGCCCCTGTGGAGGCGGACACTACTGACCAGAAAAGTTTCCTCTGCTTTCTCGACAGAGAGCTGCTGGATGACACCAGCGTGGCCTCTGTTGCAAATATTTTGCTACGGGTCCGCCCTGTTCTCGCTAAAAAGCCTCAAACGAGGGAGGAGTGGGTATTCGCCGAGCCCCGCACAGCTGGGTGGCCAACTTGTCCGTGTCGCACCTACACACATAAGCATTTTGGGGATGATGTAAGCGATGTTAATCACCGCAGAGCTTTAATCGTTTCAAATTATTCTTTGCGTAAGTAGTTATTTGCACATCACTCCTGCGCGGCTCTCGAAATTGGCTGCCCCAGTTTGCAGCGGCTGACTCGATACGTCCGCGGCAAGCGAGCTGAGCCCACGGAAACAAAGCAAATCCTCATCTCCCAGCCAAAAAATGCAGTTTCTCTGCGGGGCTTCTGGCCGCTCGGTAAAACTTTTGGCGCTTTCTGACGCGCTGAGAAAACCCTCAATGTTCAAGCAGACACCAGCAAAAGCCGCTCCAGAAAAGAGCGTTTACGCTCAGACGGCGTGACGTTCTGGCTCAGGGAGCAATTGGTGTCAGAAATGGGCACGGCGGTCTTGATTTACAGGCTCCTTTTCTTTGGGCTTTGGCTTTTTTTACCCTTATTTACCACAGCGAGCCTGGAGGCGATACGCTAGTTCCCTCTTCCAGAATATTTATCCCTCCGACGCGCAGCAAAGGCTGCACGTTCCCTCGTAGCCTGTCCTTACGCAGCTGCAGTTATTTACTAAGGGATTACTGTCAGGGCAGTTCCCCCTCACGGTTTCAGGCGACCGTTCTTCTACCATCTACTTCCCAGATTCTCTCCAACGAGGAAAAGAGGGCAAACTTTGATCGCTACGGAGATGCCGGGGAAAGCCAGGGCTACTCTCAGCACCAGCATCGCCAGTTCCACCACTTCCATGAAGGCTTCTATTTTGACGAGTCCTTCTTCCATTTCCCCTTTAATTCGGAGAGGCGCGACACCTCCGACGAGAAGTATTTGCTCCATTTTTCCCACTATGTCAATGAAATCGTGCCAGACAGTTTCAAGAAACCTTACCTCATTAAAATAACCTCGGACTGGTGTTTCAGCTGCATCCACATCGAGCCCGTGTGGAAGGAAGTCGCTCAGGAATTGGAGGCGCTGGGTAAGGATGAGGCCATTTAGGCTGGGCGCGCGTCCCTCGCCCAGCGAGGCTGCGGCGATTGCCTTCAGCTTTGGAGGACTGAGTTTAACCTGTAGATTTCCTCGGGGATTTATCCTAATGCTTTCCCGAATGCTACTAACGTCATAATCGATGAGGCTACATGTTAGAAATGAGGAAAAAAAACTAGTCCCGTAGATCACAAGAGCAAGATGCCTTTTCTCCTGGCCATACGGCTAGTGGCTTAGTCCAACGCCGATGATGATAAATGATGGCGTGGCCGAGGGCCGATCGCACCACCACGACTTCAGGCCACCAGCATGAGGGCTGTGTTGCTCTTCATCCTGCGCTTGGATGGCTTTGATAAGCAGAGATCCCTGCAGAGCATGTCCTCGACTTTAGGGCCGCTACCACACAGTGAAGTTTTGAGACTTACTGAACACATTTGGATGCCAAGGAGGTATTTTGTACTTGCCCCTCCAGCCCCAGCTTCCTTCTTTTCCCTGCAGATGTTGTCTGCCCGCGCTTCCAGAAAAACAAACTCTACAGACAGCAGGAGACAAAGCCATCGTAGTTCCCGCTTACTAAGATTCTCCTCCTCGAGGTTTTAGCGTAGCACACGAAATACCAGTGGACAGAAGAAAAGAGGACAGTGTGTTCTCTCTCTCCCCCTAGATAAAGCTATGAGTTTTAAATACAGTCTTCAAGGATTGCAAGAGGAGGAGAGTACAGAGTTATGAGGGACAGTCCCATGAATAACTCCCGAGCAGGGTGCCGGGCAAGGGAACAGGTCTTCAACCTCAATTTTCTACTAGGCGTTTTGGGTTGCTGGTGATCTTTCATGTGAACCCGCTCTCCTTTTTTCAGGAGTGGGAATCGGAGTCGTTCACGCTGGGTACGAAAGGCGCCTCGCCCATCACCTAGGTGCGCACAGCACACCGTCCATACTGGGGCTCATCAACGGGAAGATAACCTTCTTCCACAACGCCGTCGTTCGAGAAAACCTGCGGCAATTCGTGGAGAACCTTCTGCCGGGGAATCTCGTAGAAAAGGTATGCTCTAGTAAGAGTGTCACGTGCTGCTTCTCACGTCTGTCTGGATATTCATCTCTCCTTAGCTGTTTCGGTGGCTAATCTGTTTAATTCAGCCCCTGAGCTGATCTGTGTCACGAACGCGAGAAGATCCGACTGAGGCTGGTGAAGCCAGGCGTTTTGAGAGCTGTAATTACAGCTACAAACCCCGGAGCTGTCGGAAGCGATCGCGCAACGCGGCTCCGTAACGCTTCTCCTTGCGAAGGGGCTGATCCCGCTACTACGCGGTTACGCCAGCGACTTTGTGTGCCAGTTGTAATACCTCATGGCTGCCAGAGCTGTACGAAAGCTACCCCTAGGTTAGGAATCTGTGATCGTGCCCTGCCTGCCTGCTGGATTTCGCTTCCCTTCTCCTTTCTCGAGGTTTCATCCAGCAAATTAAGGACCACTCACTAACTTGTAGGCATTGTCTGCTAAAACTCACCCACGCAGAGACCCGTTGTTTGTTTCGTCCAGTTTTGATCCAGACCTTTGAAACCGGAGCCAGCAGTGCGAGCCCTTTCAAAGTTATAGGTAAAACCTCCTACTAGATAAAAAAATTCCTGCATTTCGGCCTTGCTCGGTTATTTTTGGCACAGTACTAAAGCACGCACCTCCCCTTTCAGTGCGATGTGGCCGGGTCAGCCCCCACAGCGCTCTTACCTGCCCGTCCTCTGCCTGGAGCCTTGTTCACCTCACCTCGTTTTCCCTTGGGGTCTTCAGCGAGGGCTGCCCTTCCCAATGGACTGTTGACCTCCTGTCCTCCGGGTATAGGATCATAGAATAGTTTGGGTTGGAAGGGACCTCTAAAGGTCATCTAGTCCAACCCCCCTGCCGTGGGCAGGGACATCTTCAACTAGATCAGGTTGCTCAGAGCCCCGTCCAACCTGACCGGGAATGTTTCCAGGGATGGGGCATCCACCACCTCTCTGGGCAACCTGTGCCAGTGCTTCACCACCCTCAGCGTAAAAAACTTCTTCCTTATATCTAGTCTAAGATATAGACTACCTACCTTTAGTTTAAAGCTGTTCCCCCTTGTCCTGTCGCAACAGGCCCTGCTAAAAAGTCTGTCCCCATCTTTTTTATAAGCCCCCTTTAAGTACTGACAGGCTGCAATAAGGTCTCCCCGAAGCCGCCTCATCTCTAGGCTGAACAACCCCAACTCTCTCAGTATTTGAGTTCTCACCCCAAAAGCAGGGCCTGCTGTCCCCTTCTGCAGCTAAAGCAGCCGTTTACCCCTCCCGCAGCCAGGCGTTCCTCAAAAACAGAGCTAGCAGTCGGCTCTCCTCTCCCTACAGGCCCCTAAAGGAGCTGTGATCTCCCTTTTATCTCCCTCCTCTAGGTCAAAGAGGTACTACAGCTGAAACAGAGCAGGTTTGATGGAGCTCACCGGTGCCTGTTAACCCTTGGCTTCCCGCTATATATAAAGTGTATGACCCCAATGAACAGTTGTGAGACTGAAAGTGGCATCAGCATTGACTGGAAGCAGCATTGGCCGAGGATGCAGTTAACTAAGAGGGTTGGTGGGGGTCGAGACTGATGGTTTCAGTTAATTCCCTCCCTCAAAAAAGCACAGATGAGGCATACCTGTTGGAAAGCCAAACCCACGGTCTGCTTTCTGTAACACCTGGACAGCTTTTCCAGGCTCGGTTCTCATTCAGACACCTAATCATACAGCATTGCACGTGTCTAACGGCTCTCAGGTTAAACTAATGTGCTGATTCTATTTAAAGATTACAGATAAAAACTACATCCCCTTTCTCTCCAACTGGAAGAAAGAAAACAAGCCCCACGTCCTTCTATTTGATCATATGCCAGCTGTGCCATTATTATACAAGGTAATAGGATTTCCGTCGCTGCATTGTTGACTTGCTGATAAATCCAGCTGTTCCAAAAGAAAATGCGATGTTGCTGTGAGCAGAGGTGGATCGACACCTCTAAATACTATTGACCGGTTCTAAGAGAACAAGTTGGCTTGTGTCGGTTGAAAATGGCACGGCCGGATGACCGACTTCATTAGGAGATTGCTTCTCTGTCCTGCCACGGGCCTACCCTTAGTGAATGCGAAGGTGCCGGGTGGGTTTCGGAGGTAGCGGCAACAGAGGCATGTAACTAACCTTTATGGGTAACGAGAGAATTTTGCGGCACATCTAATTTGGGTTACTGGAAAGCCCGTTTCCTAAGAAACCCCTGCTACCGTGCCAAACGTCAGGTTGTAAAATAAAG